CCTGCTCTGCATGAAAACGCTGGGAAACGCAAACCCCAATCCCTGTAGGTCCTGCGGCGGGACAGGGCAGGGGGTTCTGCACGCGGACCTGACGCCGTGGTCCGGGCTGGCACCGCCTCTGCCATCAGGGAGCTTCCCGAGGCTGGAGAAGGGGTGACCTTACCCTCAGGGAGCCCCATGTATCACGGGGGGAGTCACGGCCCTTCCCTGGTGTGTGATGAGCGGGAGGCCGTTGCTGCCCACCACGGCCGCCTGCCGTTCTCTCCTCCCCAGGGCCGCCCTCGGCACCGGTGAACCTGATCTCCAGCGTGAATGGGACATCCGTGACCCTGGAGTGGGCCCCCCCCCTGGATCCAGGCGGCCGCAACGACATCACCTACAACGCCGTGTGCCGCCGCTGCCCCTGGGCGTTGGGCCACTGCGAGACGTGTGGGAGTGGCACCCGCTTCGTGCCCCAGCAGACAAGCCTGGTGCGGGCCAGCCTGCTGGTGGCCAATCTGCTGGCCCACATGAACTACTCCTTCTGGATCGAGGCCGTCAACGGCGTGTCCGACCTGAGCCCCGAGCCCCGCCGGGCGGCTGTTGTCAACATCACCACGAACCAGGCAGGTAGGCGGAGATGCTCCGTGCCCCGGCTTCCCTGGCCCCTGGCCCTCGCAGGATCGGAGCACCGCCCCGTACGCGGTGGTGTTTCGGGCAAGTGCCTGCCTCTCCTGGCCCAGCCTTCCTCCCCAGGACTGGGAGTTGCAGGCTCTCCACACCCTTAGAAAAGTAGATCCTGCCCCGTAGGTGGGAGAAATCCGACGTAGGTGGGAGAAATCCGACAAGGTCAGAGACGGGCCTCCACGGCCATCGTAGGCCTGGGTTCCAGAGCTTTCTCTCTGCCTCTGTTTCTTCCTTGGTGCACTGGGAATAACAGTACGTGCCTCAGGTCCTATTTGGGGGCTTAAGTGAGAGAAATGAAAACTCCGAGCCCAGCACCTGGCCCAAGGTACCTGCTCAATAAATGTCATTAAAAAATAAAATCACTCTGATTATCATTTTCCAGAACACCTGCCACTGCTGCCCCTGGGAGGGATTTGGTTGCACTGGTTTGGACAACAGCCATTTATCTCTGTGTATCTAGACAGTTGCTGGGCTGAATTTAGCCCCTGGAGCCCCTCCCTTTCCAAATTCTGGTGAGTCCTGCCTGTCAAGTGACAGCCCGGCCCAAGAGCCCACCACAGTAGCTTCTCCATTAACGGCCACCCCAGCACACATCTAAGCCCACCGTGGCCCCGACCCCATCTCCCCCCAACACCACGCAGGCCTGGTCCAGCAGTCACTATTCTCACCATGTCACCGAGGAGGAGTCCGAGGCTCTGTGTCACCCCCACAGGAAGTGGCAGAGGCAGGATTCAAACCTAGGTCTGCCTCGCACCCAAGTGAAACAGGAGATCCAACTGTGAGCCCAGGGCACCCCCTCCCTGATGCCAGGCTTTGTCCATTCAAGAGACCCTCTTCCAACTGGCATTTGTGGGGCACGCACCGAATGCCCAGCTCTGTGCTCGGGGCTGGCGACACAGTGGGGAATAGGCCTGTGTTCCTGGTGCGTGGGGCCCTGCCCTCGGCCACTGGTCTCCAGGGAGACTGGGGCAGGTGGCTGGCTGGCCGGGGTGCAGGTGGAGTAGCACCCAGGGGCATTCCCGACACCGTCAGTACGCTCCCTCGCTCCCCCGTTAAAAGAGAAACCCTCCCTTGAAGCCACGCTCCCTTCCAGCCCCCAGACCATTTCCGTTCCCAGGAAACCTTCCTGAAAGAGCTGTCTGTCCTGCTGTATCTGCGTCCTCTCTCGGTGAGCCTCTTTGGGCGGCTCCAATCAGGCATCTTTCCCCACCTGGCCCCTGAAGTCCAATGCCTCCACTGGGCCACACGCCGCAGGGACTTCTCTCCCTGTTCTTTTCTCATTGGTGGAACACTTGCGTCTTGCCCCCAAGCCCTGCACATCCCCCATTCTCTGTTCACCTGTCTGGCCTGCCCTTGTCCATCCTGCCAGCCCCACTTCCCCGAACAACCTCAAAAGGCTGGAAGGACCCTGGGCTTGTCCCAGATGCTCCTCCCTCCCCTGTTCAGCCAGGTCCATCTTTTCCGAGTGATCTTATCAGGGCCCGTGGCTTGGAATCCGCTCTCAGTGTGACATCCCACAAATGTACCAGCACGGACCTCTCCCCTGAGGCCTAGCTGCCTGCTCCCGCCCCCACTTGGATGTGTTTTAGCCACACAGCACCCCCAGACCTGCACCTCCCAGAGGCCCCCCATCTCAGGACACGGCACCACTGTTCAGGGGGATGCTGGAGCCCCACACCCCATTGTCAGCCTGACTCTCCCTCCCTCCCTCCCTCCCTCCTCCACCACCCGCCGGCCCCGCCCCACCGGGCCTCACTTCAGGTGACCACCGCCCCCTCAGAGTCCTTCCAGTGCATCTGCCTTACTCAGCTCTGGCCGTCGTAGCAAAATACCGTAGGTTGGGGGCTTAAACCCTGGAGGTTTTTGCTCACGGTTCTTGAGGCTGGAAGTCCAAGATCAAGATGCTGGCCGGTTTGGTTTCTAGTGAGAACCCTCTTCCCGGCTCGTGGACAGCTGCCCTCTTGCTGTGTCCTCACAAGGCAGAGAAAGAGAGAAGTGTCTGGTGGCTTTTCTTATAAAGGCACTGATCCCATCATGAGAGTCTCACCTGCATGACCCCCTCTGTACCTAATTATCTCCCTAAGACCCTACGTACAAAGACTACCAGGTTGGGGGTTAGGGCTGCAATATATGAATTTGGGAGGGGGACACAATTCAGTCCACAGCACTGTCCACACCCCCAGCGTGTGCTGTGTGGGCAACCACAGGGGCCCCCTTCCCCTCGCCCCGTGACGCCTTCTCTCACTGCGTCCTGAATGAGCTTTCCAAATGTAAGCGAGGCCCGGTCATACACGAGCCCTTTACCAGCTTCAGCCTGAGCTCAGATCCCATTCCGATCCTCCCAGGGCCGAGGGACACCCATGCCACCCACCCTACCCACCTTCTCCAGCCTCGCCTGCCCACTTTTACCCAGCTCCCTCTCTTGCAGCCACCCTGGCTTCCCCCTGCCCTGCCCCGCCCTGCCTTGGGCCTTGGCTTTACCTCTCTTTCTGAGCGACAGGCCCCTCCCTGTGATGTCCAGTGGCTGGCTCCTTCAGTCCTCAGTTCCACTGTCACCCCTGCCTTGGGGAGGCCCACTCTGACCACCCCCAGCTGAAATGGCCTGACTCCACCTGGCCCCTGCACACAACGTTCCCTCCATCACACGCAGTGCCTTCTGTCCCTCATGGCACTTCACCAACCTGTGACTGCACATCGGTTTACCTTCTTGCTTTCTGCCTCTGTCATAGATCATAAGCTCTTCGAGGGCTGCCGTGGTCACTACAGGAACCCCAGGTCCTAGCGGACCACAAGGCATGTGGGGAAGGCATTCAGGAAATCCTGAGGGGGCCAGGGCAGACAACAGCCCTGAGCAAATGGGTGAGGTCTAGCCTCACAGAATGCTGGCCCCTCCCCGCTCTGTCCTCCTTCTCCCCTCTCCCTCCTCCCTCCCACCTCTCCCCTTCCCCACTCTCCCTCCCACTCTGTCTTCTCGGCAGCCACCTCCTCCTGGAGCCCTCAGGTGACCCCACCCTGTTTTCCTTCCACCTCTGCGCTCTGTCCCCCTGTGTCTGCTCCACTCACACGGGACCTCTGGCCTTGGAAGTTCTTTGGTTTTTAAGAGGCGCCCACATACAGATGGCACCACGATGGTCTTATCTGATCCTCACCTCCTCCTGGCTGGTGGTGCTTCTAGCTTCTCTTTCTGGTTGGGGAAAGTGCCCCCCACCCCCCAGATGGTATCGGTCCCAGCCAGCAAGAGAAGGCCGGGTTGTGAACCCGGGCCTGATTCCCAGGCTGGTGGGGGGCCCCCTGTGCCACACTCTCCAACTTCACTCTGGACTTCTTAATTTGTCACGTCAAAGCCACCCAGCAGGATTTATTGGGCACCTGCTGTGCGTAGTCCCTCCCTTCAGGGAGCTCAGGGGAGACAGGATGCCCTGATAGGGAGCAAGAACTGGGCTTGGGGGGCAGCCGGGGGCAGCTGGGGGAGCCTGGAGGTGTGGGGCCGAGAGTCAGCTTGGCTGCCGTGGGGTCTGTATCTGGTGCTTCCCAGCAGACTCACATCAGGGGTAACTACACCGAACGCAGGAGGGAGGGAGGGACTGAAAGGCTCAGTCAGTGAGTAACGGGGGTGCACTGGGGACCTAGTGTGACACGGGAATGCTTGAGCTCAGATGGGCTCAGCTCAGGTCCTTCCCCTGAGTGTCAGAGCTGCTGCAGTCACACTCTCCAAGCGCAGGCGGTGAGGACGCTGCTTCCTTCCGTCCTGCCCCTCCCTTCCTTCTCCTTTTCTTCTTCCTCCTCAGGCACCCCTGAGATCCTGCTCCACTCCAGGCCTTGGGCTCGGGGTGGGAGGCATCGGGTGGTGGGGCCCCACGTGGACGAGGGTGTCTGTCGGATGAGGCTGGCAGGGCTCCAGCACGCTGCCAGTGGATGGGCCTGGCCAGCGGGGAGGTGGAGGCAGTGAAAGCTGGACTAGTCAGGCCTCCTCTGGGTCAAGCCAACCCCAGCGTCCTAGACCCCTGGACCGCAGCCAGGCTGTGCCGACCCCGGGTGACCGACCGGAGCGGCAGCCGGTGATTTGCTAGGAGGATTGGAGGGTGCCGGCTGGCCTAGGGCCGGGGCAGGACTGTTGGCAAGGTGAACACGGCCCAAGCCAGGGTCCCTGGGACAGAGGCCGGGCTCCATTATCACCCACCCTCCCATCTGACCGAGGCTGGCCTCCCGCCCCCAGCCCCGTCCCAGGTGGTGGTGATCCGCCAGGAGCGGGCGGGCCAGACCAGCGTCTCCCTGCTGTGGCAGGAGCCAGAGCAACCCAATGGCATCATCCTGGAGTATGAGATCAAGTACTACGAGAAGGTACCAGCAGGGAAGGGAGGAGGGGGGAGGGGAAGCAGGCGGGAGGACCCTTGGCCGACCACCCCTCTCATGGGCAGGACAAGGAGATGCAGAGCTACTCCACCCTCAAGGCCGTCACCACCAGGGCCACCGTGTCGGGCCTCAAGCCGGGCACCCGCTACATGTTCCAGGTCCGAGCCCGCACCTCTGCAGGCTGCGGCCGCTTCAGCCAGGCCATGGAGGTGGAGACTGGGAAACCCCGTGAGTGCAGGGGAAGACGAGGGAGCTGGGCCAGGCCAGGGGCCGTGGGGGGTGAGAGGAGGGGGATGTGCTGAGCGGGTGCCTGTGCTGGGTTGGCGTTTTCACAGGGGAAAGCCTGAGGCTCAGAGAAGGGAGGTTACTTGCCTGAAGGGACAGAGCTGATAACGCCCCATCTGCCACTGGCTTTTCCTGAGTATCGGTGTGATGTGCAGGCGGCATGGCGCCCTTTACCAGCACGGTCACCTTATAACCGTCCCAGAGGCCCTCTAGTGCGTTGCCGTTATCCACATCCCCATTTCACAGATGAGGAAAATGAGGATCAAAGCAGTAAAATGAATCGTCCGAGGTCACCCAGCAAGGCAGGATTTAAGCCTGGTCAGTCTGGGGACGAGTTCTGTGCCCCTTCCGCAGCATCCTCCTGCCCCCAGCCTCCAGAACTGTGGTTCCCACAGCGTAGTCTGGGATCAGCAGCAGCATCACCCGGAAGGTACAGAAATGCTGGTTCTCAGGCCCCACACCAGACCTTCTGAATCAGAAACCCTGGGGTCAGGGCCCAGCAATGCAGCGTTTAGTAAGCCCTCGGGGTGATTCTGAGGCACCTTCAGGCTTGGAAACGCCCTGCCCCTGTCTCCAGCTGCTTGGGGTCCTTTCTCAGCTCTACACTCGGGTACCCTCCCCGGGGTGGTACTGGGATAGAAAGGTTCAAGGCTGAGTTCATGACCCCCTTCCACTGGCACTGCCTTGGCACTCCTGTGCCAGATAGGAATCCTGCCTGGCTCGGTCCCATTTACTGTGTGACCCTGAGTAAGTTCCCTGAGTTCTCTGAGCCACACCTTTCTTGTCTAAACACAAGATGACCCTGGGATTGCCCTGTAATTGGGAGTGAAACCCGCACCTCTCAGCACATTCGGCTTTGTTACTGTTTGAGTATCAGGCAGGACAGGCCCGTTACAGCTGAGGAAACTGAGGCTCAGACAAGTCTAGTGATTCTCTGCAGCTCACAGAGCCCCAGGAAGTGGTGGCACCGGGGCGGGAAGCCAGGAAGCATGGGTGAGCAGGGTCTTGAAAGGGAAGCTTAGTGGAGGGTGGGGGCAGAGAGGGAGGTGGCCTGTGACCGGACTCTGGGCTGACTCACAGCTGAGGACGCTGCCCACCGAGCCCGGAAGAGCCACCAGGCCCCCGGGCCTGAAAGGCTGGTGCCCCACCCCGCTTTCCTCCTCTGCAGGGCCCCGCTATGACACCAGGACCATTGTCTGGATCTGCCTGACGCTCATCACGGGTCTGGTGGTGCTTCTGCTCCTGCTTATCTGCAAAAAGAGGTGTGTGGTCGCTGCCCCCAGCCACCCCAAGCCCCTCCTCTGGAGCCCTGTGTCCCCAGCCCGTGCCGAGCCC